TTATTACTACTCTGCAATCTTAATGTCCGCCACTCCGCAGTACAACCACTCTGAACGCTACTCCCATCTTCCACACGCCACTGTCCTTCTGCTACTCCCACCTCTATAAACATCTTAATTACTCTGTTTAGTCCAGCTCTATGGGATTGATTTTTTTTGTAATCCCCCCCCACAGCCTCTTAATCTGATAACACTCTCCTACCAGCAATGCTTCCAAAAACATGTAGGTAAAGTTTCCTTCCACAGCCACCCCAATCGTGCCCTCCTTATCACGTTTACATCAGAATCCCAGGCTACAGCATTATCAACCCTAACAGACATGATTGGCAAACCTATTCCTGCCCAATCTTATCCCACCCTCAAAACTTGCACCAGGACTGTTTCAATCACGTACTCGCCTGCCTCATGGACTATGGTGCAGTATCAGTACAGTGCTACACCATTCCCCTTAGAGGCTGTCATAGGCACTCCACTAATATTGCCAAAATTACTCGCTGTAGACATGAGTCCCTCCTTGTCCGACCATATCAACCATATCTGTCAGTGTCAGAATTGTTGTTATCTAGGCCATCCTGCCAAACACTGTCGTTCCACAACCCAGTGCTGTCTTAGTGTCCAAGTTGATCATAATCAATGAAGCTTCTCTGCACAGTCATGCACATGTGCCGATTGTGGCAGCTCCCATAATGTATTTATAGTGGTTACCCTATAGGAAGTCTCAGATTCAAACTTGACCTCAGTTTACACGAAGCACAATGAGTTTCTCTCTCACTCCCTACTCCAAGATGTTTCTACATCTCCGCCAGCATCTCTTCCTCATCCCACTTCTACCCCCTACCTCTCACAGTCAAATACCTTTGCCATTCTAAATCTAGACACCCCCAATCTCCTCTATTATTCCAGACACTCCAATCACTACATCCCTCGTACCTACTCTTTTACCTCCTTTCCCAACTCATCGCACAAAACAGGCACTCCATCTCATCTACCCTATCCTCTCCGTCAACTTCTCCCTCTACCCCTCAAACATCTGTCCCCTCTTATCCCCCCCATATGAGAAAACCTTCGTTTCTCAGACCTCCCCAATTGACTTCACTGCAAAAACTCTTGAAGACATTCAAAACTATCCTATCACGACCCAAGATAACATGCCTACATGTCATTCATCCTCCAATCTTTCTACTCCTATTCCTTCTACACTCAAAGTAACTGGTGATATCCATCCCTCACAGTCCCTACCTTCTCTCCTTTGCTAATCCCTACCTTAACCTATGGATATCCTTGCAATATCCCACACATCTCTTTAACAACTTTGATCTAATAGTCCCTACCTTGATGAACTGCTATACGACTTCTGATATGTAGAACATTTAATCATTAACTAACCCCCCTCTTTACTTGTTTCACTATTATACCTTATTACAAAATATAGCTCCCTGAGTTCCCTTCCTTCTGGATATGAGGTTTTGAACATTTTTAATTGCTTGTGGTGGGGGTGAATCCACATTTTGTATTGATGCTCAAAAGATAAGGCAGTATTCGTAAACATATATACAGATATGTGGCTGAGAGTTAATGTTTATTTTATTTACATGTATAAATTTTATTTTTAATCATACTTTAGACATATCCTAATTTATCTGTGGGGGATATTATGGTAAAGTGTCATAGGGTGCACGAGAATGAGTGTATAGGGACATTGTGCAAATGGGCTAAAATCTGTTAAAAGTATTTAATGTAACCCTTGTTTACCTATAAACGAAACTGAGTTAGACCCTCATATTGACAGGGCAATTCCTCTATTTTGGTAGTCATATGAAACCACTTCCAAGTCATATTGACCTATGGGGACCCATAAGCATCCAGACAGTTTCCTTGAGTTGTTACTCTCATGAATATTTATATTATTATTAATTTCAAAGTTATAGCCCTCTGTATGAGCAAGTGCACTTGATAAGTGCACTTTGCCATCTTTATGATAAGCTGTGATTAAGAATTTTAGAGACATTTATAAGTATTTAAAATATTTTAACGTATCAAATTCTGAGTCAGTAAAGTGCACTTGGTCATTGCAGATGTCATACAGCTGGGACCAGCAACAGCAGTATGGCTGGGGAGACCAATCAAGTTTTTCCTATGACATGGGATCTCCGGACTTTGGGCAAGAGCAGCAGTTCCAAAGCTTCGATTATAGCAGCTCTGGTGGCCAAGGAGGACCCCCACCGACTTCTACTTACAATAATGTAGGGGGTGGTCAGCAGCCTACCTTCTTCACCCCAGGACCTTCCATCATGACACCAGGACCCAACCCTGAAGCCCCCGTCACAGGAGACTCCATAGATGATGAGCCTCCCCTGCTGGAGGAGTTAGGAATCAACCCAGAATCCATCTTGCAGAAAACTCTCACCGTTTTGAACCCCATGCGACGCACCAACCCTATGATTCTGCAGGACACAGATTTGGCTGGTCCTTTAGCATTTTGTTTAGCCTTTGGTAGTTT